AAAGGTGGGGACTTTCAAAGGCAAACTTTAAAAGCTTCATATTTCAGCCTAGGTTGGACCTATTCATCTTTATTTGTACATTGACAAATAATAGTCTCTGAACAAAAATTCATGGACTCCTGACTCCATTTCAAACAGAGTTACTGCACTGGGCCTGAGGTTGTTAAGTCTGGACTGAATGTTAAGGCAAGCATGCTCAATTTTGGCCTCCTCCTTGAGTTAAACCTAGAATATAACAAATATTATTTTTGATTACCATTTGAAGATTGAGCTATCATAAGATTCAATTTTATTGAGTTATTGAGTAAAATAAATGACTATATAATAATCACAAAAGCAAACACTATTACCATGAAATATTTGATTTTAAAATTTTGAAAACATAAGGCTATATGAAAGTATGTATATAGGCATCTATAATTAAATACACTTAGGGAAAAAATTAATACTATCAAGTAACAACCTAATAATGAAAATTAATTAAGATGTATGCAACATACCTTGAAAATAATATAAATAATGCACTAACTCAATATTTTCCCAAGTTCTTCGGGGAAAATAATCTCTAGTTTGAAGTCCTTTGAGCCACTGTTTAAAGACATATTCCTGGGCTGGGACTGTGGCTCAGCGGTAGAGCGCTCCCCTAGTACGGATGGGACATGAGTTCGATCCTCAGCACCTAAAAATAAAGGCACTGTGTGGTGACCATCTACACCTAAAAGACAGATTCCTTCCTGTGCTTGCCAATTTGGAATCCCCAGATGATGACCCTGAGAAGAGGTATTTTACAAGCATTATGGTGACTCATGTCCTATGGGTAACTTCAAAACAATTGCTTAACATTTTTTATAGCCAGTTGGAGTTTATACTGAGATACATATTCCTGGGCCCAATGACAGTATAAATCAATATTTTCAAGTGGGCCTTTAGAATTGACAATTTGAGCAATCTCCTTGAGAAGATTTTCTGCAACATAAGGTTTGACACCATCATTCTCCTTAATAGTGTGTACTTATGTAAGGGCAAAGTTGAGCTTCTTTTATGAAATACTAAGGGATTCATTATAAGAATGTTGAATGAATGCAAATTATAGTTTAGTAAAATAATGATCTGCTTTTTTCTTAAACTAGCTATGTGTTTACTCCCTTAAACATTCAATCAAGTAAGTTCTTCATAAATAATGTAAGAGAAAAATCCAAATTCATTTGTATTATTTTTATGATGTGCAAATTATGAAAGATAATAAATTGTATTTATTGTCCAAGTCTTAATATATTTTATTTTTACACATATCTTCAAAAATTAGTTAAATATACTCACAAAATATTCAGGCATAGAAAAGTGTATTTACAAATATTTCCTAAGTTTTATCATTTGATTTTTATCTAAAACTGAGACATTATTTACAGTTCATTAGCAAGATTTTGCAAAAGAAGGTTTTTTTTTAAGTTTTCTTATGCTTTAGTATTCTTTATTTTGTATTCATATTTTCTTACTCTGATCTTTCTTCTAACATTTTAGCTTTTCCTATATTTCAATAATATTTTTTTCACCCGTTTTCTTCTTTTATGTTCATAATTTAGCATTTTTCTCAAACTTATTTCTGATTTTTATTTTTCAAAATTGGATTGATTTATATTTATTCAATGCTATTTCTCTCTTTATCATTGAAAAACACAGAAAATTCCTTAATCTGATGTTTAAAACTAAGGAACATTTACTGAAATAAGAAAACTTGCAACATTTTAAGAATTAAATTTTTATCAATTTCATCTAATCAAGTTTACTTGTTGGTAGTTTGCAACTACACATTTCTACTTCTTTTAATAATGAAAAAATCTGTCAAATTTTTCATATAACTAATTAGCATCAGTGGAAGAAACTCCATCCAGCCTTGTCTCCTTGAGCTTGTCTTAATAGATCTATAAAATAAAGTTAGAAGACTTCAGTATCATAAAACATGCTGGAAAAAAGTAATATTTTACCTATATTATTCTGATATCATTTTTGGTATGTCCTATAAATTGTGTTTATCATTTTTTACCATTGAAAAATGGTAAAAAAAATAAAATAAATGAATCTATGTTTATAGCTGTGTGTTTAATACATGTTTTATCATACTTTGAATATCTTTCACATATATAAAAAGTTCACTGAGTAACATGGGATATGTAAAATTGAGTAAGGTTTGATCAACCTGAGGGTGCTTAGAGACTAGAGGGAGAAATAAGATACAAAGTATGTGAAGCAAACTAGAAAATTATGGAAATCTTAAAAAAAATGATCTAGAAATTTCCTAAGGGAGACAAGAAAAGGCAATCGTTTGAAGCATTAGCGAAGCTTCATCCAGAAATATGGCATTTGGGCAGAGATTTAAAGAATGGGTGAGGTTTGGGGAAAGGTGATGAAGACCAACAGAGGCTTTCTAGGCAAAGGGAAGAAAGTGAGAAATGGTATGGAGAAATGTGGAGGTGGGGATAATTCAATGTGACCAGAGTATGTGATAGTTTGGGGGAAGAATCAATATATGTAGTTTAGTTAGGAATGTGGAGACACCAATGATACCTAATGAGTAGGTAGGGAATGACATATTCAGTGTTCAGTGACAATTCTTATGGAGTTCTTTGTCTGCAGCACATGCTTAGCTAAATACTTGGCTCTATGATGTAATCCTCAAAATAATAGTATCAAATAAGTATTTGTTACAGTACCATTTCACAGATAAAGAAAAGGATTAGAAAAGGGAAATGACTGACAAATGTTGAATCTTAAATAAATAGCCTTCCTGAATGAATGTATTTTGAGAGGTTAGCATGAACCCAGAAAGTGAGATAGCATAGAGGAAACTGTAAATGAAAGATGGAAACACTGTTGAACATGATAATACGATGGTATCTTAAAGTCCTAAGAAATAGTAATAAGGTCCTGCCTATGGTAATGGCAAGTTGATCTGGGAAACACAGATTTTTTTTGATTTATTATATTTCCCCTAAGAAAGCACCAAATATGTAGGCGCACTCCCCAATCTAAGGTCCTCTTTTAACATCTTTCACAGAATTATTGAGATTTCTTTTGCAGCCCTTGTCAAGAATCACCATTACACATTTGTGTGACTATACTTCATATCCATTTCCCTCTCTGGGTGGTAAGGTTCAGGTTAGACGGATCATGCTTAAGCAACGTGATTCTGCAATCTGCATTTGGGGTAAAATTGGGAGTTCATAACCCACTCAATCTAATGTATGAAATATGATATGTCAAGAGCTTTGTAATGTTGTGAACAACCAATAAAAAAAATAAACATCATATACTTAAAAAAAATAAAGAAATCCAATACTGTGTCCATCCACAGTTAATATTTATTGCATTTAAGAGTGGATGAAGAATAATGAGAAAGAATGGATCATGGATAAATAAATGTAGAATAAAAAATGACTTCAAGAACTTTGAGTAAAAAATATGAGTGGATAGTATTAGAATACAGGAAGGGAAGGGAGTGTATATATATATATATATATATATATATATATATACTTTCAAATATAAAACTCTGAGAATGAACATTCATTAAAACAAAAAGTATATAAAAGCAAAAAAAAGAAGTCATTAAAAGAAAAAATAATGCATGGTCTTATTATTTTAAGGCTATATTCTATAGCATTTACCAATAAGCTCAACTAGTTCCATTCTTTTTATTTTTAACTCCATCCTTTTTTTAACCTTTAGTTTGATCTTTTTGAAAATGTTGTTGAATATTTCATAGAAATACATTAAACTAATGGGTCTATTTTTCCATTGTCTATATACTTGATAAAATTTAAAAAAAGATGGGCCATCATTACAGGCAGTATAATTATGGTCTCAAACAATCACTGACTGTGTAGTCTATCAGTCTTTTAGTTATTTGGTCATTTCTTTGTTCTTTCTTCAAAATTAAACTAGTTTTCAGGACTAAAGGAATAAACAGTCAGGTTCACAAATTTTTGAACACTTATCCACTGTGACTAAAGCAAAAGAAATTGTCTAAACCTCTGGATCTTTATTCACCTTAACAAATGATAGAGGGAACCAAATGTTAGTCTTAGTTTGAAATGACTTTCTCATTTTCATTAGAACAAAGTAAGTCCTCTTTTAAAATCCACTTTAAAAATAGGAAAAGCATTCTGAATCAGTAAGCAGACCAATAAGCCAGCAAAAAGCCCTGGGATGTGAGAGTTCTGGACTTTGCTGCATGTATTCACATAGGAATAATAGTACTGGAGAGACTGACAAAAAAATTGCATGACTAATTCTAGCTAATTACTATCAGTGTGTTCTTCACTTGTCTACAAACAAGAAGTTCATATAGTACAATCTCAAGTCTAGAAATCAGAGAAATATTTGTGTTTAGAGAACATTTCTTCATGGAATTGGTAGTATAAGGGTATTTAGTCTTATGTGTTCTTTTCATGGATCTAGATTTGAAAGCAATGCCTTATAAAATGTACATTGCTCTTTAGGTTTTAGAGTAAAAACTCAAGTTTTCAACTCAATAATTATGTTTTAAAAATTATGTGAGAGGTAGCACAGTTAAATAAAATACTAAGTTGTAGTTCATACAAAAGTTCCCTCCTATCCCTTACTGGCATATATAGGACTTGTCTACATCCAACAATTCTGAAAATTTTTCCTCAAGGAAAAGAAATATAATAATCTGAAATTCAAGAAATGTCTCACACGAAATGAAAAATGATGTCAGTGCTGTGCAGTTGGAGAATTGCCTTTTAGCAATGCATAATGTGCTCAGAACTTCACTGTTTTGTAATTTGCTAACCTTGAATAAAAATAATAACCATAATAATTATAAGATCTGAAATATGAATACCACAAAACAGTCTCCATCAATACCCAAAAACCAACAAAGCTCAAATTGTTTCACTGATACACACATTTACAAAAGAGGCATCCCAAAACTTCATATTTATTTTTCTAAAATCATGTTAATTTCTTATTTATTTCAGGCATTACTAGAGACTCAAAATTTACTGCGCACTCAGGTTGCAAATTTTACCTTCAACCTTGGATTTTCAGGGAAGTTTTACCATACAGGTAAGAAGGAGCTTTGTGTTCTCAGGCAGCTACATATAAATAGGACATAGGATTATAAATGTTCCATAAGTAGGAGAAACAGAATGTCCAGATTGATTATGGGAAAAACTTGGGTGCATTATATGAGAAGCCAAATCCAAAATCAATGAGCTCGTTTACTTTGGTAAATACTATTAAAATCAAGGACAAAAGAGAAAGAGAATTGACTTTTTCAACTCAGTACAAGAAACCATAATTATTGTTTTAAGTATGACTGTGCATCTTGTTTGTCAGCACAGCCCAAGTGAGAGCATACCTCAGTAATGATGATGATGATGATACTAATACTAATAATAGTGGGCACTATTTTAAAATTTTTGAGTGGTCAAGGTATTGGAGACTTTTGTACATATTATTTACCTTTGAAAAACATCTGGTAATGGGAGAGGAATTTTATAGCCTCAAAGAAATATACTGATCATCCTTTGTAGGATTTTTACCTGAAAATACTAAGATGAATTTGGCCATATATCCATTAAAACCTTCACAATCAAGTTTGCATTTTTTTCATAACTATCTAATCACAGTTAAATTTCTGTTCAGTCTAAGCCTCTCAACAGGTTCACAAAATGGGACTTGTGTTCATTACTACTTACTCTGTGCTCTGTTATTTCTCACCTATTTTTACTCTCACCTTCAAATTTTGACTTTCCTTTTCTGAATATTAGGATTGTACTAACTGTAGAGAAAACAATGTGTATGAAATTGTCTTGCAGTGAAGACAAAAATACTACTAAGTAGTGCTGGTATTTGTATTAAAAGAATACCACCATCTACACCTATTTGTGCTTTTATGCAGTGAGTTAAATGCTTTGTTTAGGACTTTGCGTTGTTGTTTTACTAGCATCTTAGTGAAAACAATTCACAGTGTTCTCTGTGCATGTATGCAGTTTATTGATTCATTGCAAATATCCCATGCAAGGGTAGTGTTTAATTATCATAAATTGAGCTTGTTTACCCAGAGAGACTGTTTAATATAGAAGCCCAGCATGGTTTATTAGAATATTGAAGTCACAATGTCTTATTGGCTTTTCCTTGATGCTTTTACTCCTGCTTTGTAACATGTAAATCTGTTTAAAGTAATAGAAGGAAAATTAGTATTTAGACCAGTTGATAAATCAGATGATTGCATATTTTAAAAGGACATTTTGTAGCATAGATTTGGGTCATCTTATCTGCACAGGCAAAGCAATTTCAGCTTACAATTTTGAAAATAGATATGATTTTGTAACTCTTCTTCAAAAGCACCCTCAAGAAATGAGTTCAGGCCTAAGAAGCTCTGACTATGAAATTATAAAGCAGATAACTGTGCAGGCTGCATCTACTCATGCAGGAGAAAAATTATGGGATTATTTGGAACTCACATACAAACAATACTATTTTGTCTTAAATAGTGTAAGGAAAACATTCTTTTGGCTGAAATATATCTGGATAATCACCTCCATTTTTATTTACTTTTCCCACTCAGATCTCCTAAACCTGCCAGACATTTGCAGAATTAATGTTGATAGAGGTTATGACGTGTTCCATTTCTTCTTTACAATCCTGAACATGTATACGGTACACATCAAATGAGCAGCATACCAATCAATATTACAGGGATAATTGTTGAAGGAAGACCAAAAGAATAAAAGCAACATTTTAATTC